TAGGTGTTCCACATACAGACATTTTCTTAAGTAGCAGAGTGGCTGACTCTTTTTGTCAGCCACGGAAAAAGAATGGGTATATAAACAGATGACTTTCTGAACTGGGAAGAAAGTCATAATTGCTCACATATTTTTCTCTGAAGATCCTTCAGAAAAGATTTCCAGGCTGCAGATGTAGCTCAGTGGTAGAGCATGTGCTTAGCATGTATGAGGCCCTGGGTTTAATTCCCAGCACCAATAAAACAAAACAAAACAAAAAATCTTTTCATTCTATTTGTAACTCTTTTTTACTTACTATCAAATAAAGAACATCATTTTTATCATTTAATATAGGTCTTCATAAAAATCCAGACTAGGTCAAGGTCCATCTTTATGGGGTTTTGGCATATTTCATTTAAACTATTGCTCCCTGTGACAAACATGGTGTTGCATGCCTGTAGTCTTAGCTACTCCGGAGGCTGAAATGGGAGGATCACTTGAGCCTGGAAATTCAAGTCCAGTCCTGTCTGGGCAACATAGTGAGACTACATCTTAGGGGAAAAAAAAAGTTTCTCAAATTGCTAAGCATAGGATTAGTAAATATTTCAGTTTTTTGCAATTTCAAGATTATGGAGTTTTAAAACTCAGTCTGAAGAAGATATGAAGTTACAGCTAATCTAGTTGATGAGTGCCATGAGTTTTTTTTTTAACAATAGTTTTTATTTAAATAATGTGAATGATGGTTTATAATCAATACCAATTGGGTTTGTTGTTTTTCAGAGTCAGATTTATTTAGGAGAGCAGTTAAACATTCAAGGGATTCAGAATGTAGGCTGTCTCAGGGAAGAGACTTTTGTTGGGGATAAAGTAAAAAATATATATTCAAAGGACAATGTTGCCATTGAGGGACATTGAAGAGGGAGGGAGAAGCTTTGGGGAAAACCAAGGAATACACATTCAAGGGAGAATGCAGTCCATTTCCAGTAAGAGAAACAGCCAATACCAAGACATTTTGATGACTGAAATATTTTTCCTCTTCCTATCTCATTTCACTCATACGTCCTAAAATATTCCAGAATATTTATATTCCCAGAGATGAGTCTTTATTGTTTTAGTATTTCACACCCTGCTAGAACTCACTATACCTTGTTTTCACTATGCATATTTTAGAGTATGTAGGCACCTTTTGAACTGATTACAGGCCTCATATTCATCTTCATTAGTTAAAAGTGTAAAAGTGAAGCAGTAGGTTCTCAATTCATGGCTTATTAAAAAGAAGTTTTGCTTTCTAAAAGGATCTTTAAATCTTAAATATACTCTTCATACTTGTTTGTTGTGAGGAGTGATTAGAGTTGTGCCCTCTTTTAGGTAAGTTTATGATAACAGCTTTTATATTAGAGTAAGGGAGAAAATTAAGTGTTTTCCATCCAGCAATTCCAGTGGAATCCTTATTCTAAAAGCTGACGGTAGCTAGAGGATAGTATCATCTGCAGTACTGGTTGCTAAGAAGGCCTTTCCAGCAGTTCCCTGATGCTTTAGGTAGTGGAGTAAGACTTTCCTGAGAAGAAAGAAGCATTAGGTAATTCAGTTATTTCTAATAATAGCAAAATAGTATGTCTAGATTGTCCCTGTAAGACTTTGCATATTATTCAGGCCTTTTTAGTGTCATTGATCAGATTCAGGAGATTCAAGCTCTAACTTAGCTGTTTGTCTTCACAGGGTAGAGTATATCATATGGGTTGGAGACAAATCCTCTGATTTATCTAAATAAATTTAGATAATTTATTAAATAAATTTATTTAAAGGATAACCAATAACATATTTACATATATTTTGATGAGGTAAAGTTCCTTAAGGAATTTAATTGTCTTAAGGGAATATAAGCATACTTACGAATGATTGGTAAAAGTTCTTGCAAAAAAAACTCATGTGTGAACTAATATAATACTTTCTGGGGGTTTTCTTGACAATTCTAAGATTGTGAAGTTCACTGGGCTGTTATTTAACCTTAGAGAGTTTTTTTTTTTTTTTTTTTTTTTAAGAAACCCTTTGGCTGTGGACGGTGGCACATGCCTGTAATCCCAGCAGCTAAGGAAGCTGAGGCAGGAGGATCACAGGTTCAAAGCCAACCTCAGCAACAGCAAGGCGCTAAGCAACTCAGTGAGAACCTGTCTCTAAAGAAAATACAAAATAGGGCTGGGGATATGGCTCAGTGGTTGAGTGCCCTGAGTTCAATTCCTGGTAGTAGCGCCCCTGTCCCTCCACTGGCGTGGGGTGGGGCGGTGAAGAAAGAAAGAAACCTTTTGGTGGTTGTGGAATAGTATCTGCTTGGCCTTTCTCTCCACTTAATGTAGAAAGCAGAGCTTTTTTATGTAAATATTACTCTCTCAGTAGAGTACTTGATAGACCATTTAATGTTTCTCAAAGATTAAAAAGTAAAGAATATTCAAAATTAACCAGTAGTTAACCATTCAGTGATTAACATTACTGAATGGTACAAATATGATGGCCCTTGTGTGTATGAAATAAACACTTGAAAACCCATTGTTAATTCTGAAATGTTCAGCTTTGAGAAAATACACTTGATGGCAAAAGAGAGGCTTATTTCCAACTTGTAGCAGGGATTTATCCTACTTCTGTAAAGTTAAATCCATAATATTCTTCAAGATCCGCAAAATGATGAGTTTGCCCATATTATCCTAAATGTAAACAATGGGGTCATTCTTATGCTTGCTTTTCTTTCTTTCCATGTGGGAATGCCTGTTAGCTTTTCCTTCCTCTTTCTTTTAGAAATTTAATTTTAATTTGATTTTAACTCTCAATAATTTAATATCGGTGAAACTAGCATTTGCTTTGTTTGTAGGTATTGCTTTCTGTTTTTCTTTTTTTTTTTTTAAAGAGAGAGTGAATTTTTTAATATTTATTTTTTAGTTCTCGGCGGACACAACATCTTTGTTGGTATGTGGTGCTGAGGATCGAACCCGGGCCGCACACATGCCAGGCGAGCGCGCTACCGCTTGAGCCACATCCCCAGCCCCTGCTTTCTGTTTTTCAATGAAGCATACTAGTGAAAATATTTTATTTACTCCCTTTCACTTTGTAGCTTATACAAAGAAAAGATTGTAGGGTTCTCTACAAAAATGGATACTGTTTTTCAGTTTGTTCAGCATTCTTTCAGAGTTAATTGAGCTCAAGTACAGATTGTGTATAAATTCCTGTGATGTCAACTCAGTGTCTGCATATAACTCTGTGATACTCTGTTAAGGTACTATAATAAGCTCAGTGGAGGAGAAGAAATATGGAATAAATGACAATATTTAGAAGGTGAAGAGGTTCTGCTAAGGAGAGAGTAGTATCATTAATTCTTTCAAGGAAGCAAGGAAGTAGAGATGGGTGAGTGGGATGTCTGAATAGAGTTAAAAGAATAACTTGTCACATGAACAGGTGGAAGGATTATGTTTCAGTCAATCACAACATTGTGGAATAGTGTATTTGGGGAGCTGTAAATAGTTGGATATGACTGAAAACAGAGTGAAGGGCAGTAGGAAATGAAACAAGAGAAATATGTTGGTTTACTTATCAGTGGAAATTTCTTTTTGATTAAAGAGAGAAATGGTCCATCATAAAAATAGAACAGGCAAATGTTGATTTATACATTTGTTATATTGGCTGTAGCAGTTGTTTTTGTTTTGAGATAGCTTGACTTCATAATACATATGTGAATTTCACATTCCTACGTTATCAAATGCAGCATTAATTTTTTGGAACATGTCAGAAATGGAGAGACTATTTGTGCAATATTGTGCCAATACTGTACTTACTTATTTGGAATATGAAGCAGAGGGTTAGGACCCTAGATAAACTTTAAAATATTCATAAGTAGACATGTTCAGGCAGGCACAGTTACACATACCTGTAATCCCAGCTACTAGGGAGCCTGAGGTAGGAGGATCACTAGTTTGAAGCCAGCCTGAGCAGTTTAGGTAGACTTTGTCTCAAAAAGTAAAAAGGGCTGGGGCTGTAACTCACTGGTAGGTCATCCATGGGTTCAACCCTAGTTCTGGGGATGGGGGGAGACATGTACAAAAATGTTTATTGTAGTTTTTTTTTCCATCATGAAACTTTGGGGAAAACAATGACTACTGTCAGTATTACAGTGGTTAAATTGCAGTGTATTCATATAATAGAATATTATTTTAACAACTGAACTGGGTATATTAACATAGATATATCTTTAAGTCAGTATTGAACCATATAAAATTGCAGGATGATGCTGGGGTTGTGGTTCAGTGGTAGAGTGCTTGCCTAGCTTCTGTGAGGCACTGGGGGGTTCGGTCCCCAGCACCACATAAAAATAAATAAATAAATAAATAAGTAAACAAATAAATAAAATAAAATTATTGTGTACATCTGTAACTAAAAATATTTTTAAAAAACTGCAGGGTGAAATATAAGTATGTTAAGATACAGATAAAGTTTTAAATCAGGTAAGACAGTACTATAAATATTTATTAATATTCATGTATGACAAAATGTATGAAGTAATAAATACCAAAGACACACACAGAGAGAGAGAGAGAGAGAGAGAGAGAGAGAGAGAGAGAGAGAGAGAGAGAGAGAGAGAGAGAGAGAGATAAGGGGATTGTAGTGGGGTTCCGTAACTTCAACTATATATATAGGAATGAATTGTATATATTTGTTTTAGAACAATGATTTGAACAAAATATGGCTAAATGTGAAAAAAAATATGCAAGTTGAGTAATAGGTACATAAGTACTTTGATTTTTTGTTTGTTTGTTTGGACACTTTACTGAAAAATAGAAGCAGGCCAGAGATCATCATAGATGGAAGCATGAACAGCTGGTGGAAAAGAAAGTTATTGTCCAGGTTAAGAATGGGCATGGCAGAGGTGGACGCTCCATAGGAGAAAGGGGATAGTGGGGCAGAATTGGTGAATATAAAATACATGGAGTGAGGACTGAGCATGTCTAATTCAGTAAATGTTCTAGCTAATAATTTATTTTTCTTAATTTTTTTAGAGAAATATGAAACGAAATGGAAGCAGAAATTGTTTAAATAGGAGAAGTAGGTTTGGTTCTCGAGAAAGAGACTGGCTGCGAGAAGATGTGAAGAGAGGCTGTGTTTACCTTTATGGAGCCGACACGACCACTGCCATTTCAACTACCACTTCCTCTACTGCTTCCTCCTCTTCCTCTGACTTACATCTTGTCCTTTGCACAGTGGAGACACCAGCCTCAGAAATTTGTGCTGGAGAGGGAAGAGAAAGTCTTTATTTACAGCTTCATGGAGACCTGGTTAGGTGAGATCTGAATTTATCTACTGCAATATAAGTTGCATGTGTTTCTGCTTAGAAGTGGACTTTAGGAATTTAATCATGCTGGAACTTATATTGATTATGGAGTCAGTAGACTTGAAAAGATTTGTCCCTAGAATGCTGACTTTATGATTCTTGAATTTAGAAACTATCATGAAAGGAAATTGAGTTCTTTTATTTGGAATACACTAAAGTTCTGATATCTAAATTTAAGATAAGTTTTTAAAAAGTTAATTATTTTGAGACAGGCACTGTAGAGCATGCCTATAATCCCAGAGACTTGGGAGGCTGAGGCAAGAAGATCACAAGTTTGAGGACAGCCTAAGCAACTTAGCTAGACCCTATCTCAAAATGAAAAGGTCTGGGAGTATCTCACTGGTAGAGCACCTCTGTTTAGTGCCCAGTACAGCAACAGAACAAAATAAAAGTTAATTATTTTAGAAATTATAAATAGAATGAAATTGAAATGTATAAAATGGTATAGAGTGAGAAGTAAGTCCTCCATTGTTCCTTGTGCCTCAGCTACCCAGACTTTTTCATGAAGGTGGCTGTTGTTACACATTTCTTATGCATTGTAAGGATATTCTGTGCTACTGTAAGCATATAGGACCTGGTCTCAAAATAAAAAAGAGCTGGGGATATGTGCTATAGTGCTTAGCATGCTCAAGACCCTGGGTTCAATCCCTAGTAATACACACAGAAGTTAATAAGCATATACATAGAGTCATGCATGAGTATGTGTGTTCCTATTATATATATTTAAAACTAATGATGCTGTATGCAGCACATTGTTGACTTAATATCACCAAGAGATCTTTCCCTATTAATATTTATACAGTTATCATTTATTTAGTGGCTATAATAGTGTTCCATTTTATGGGTCCACCATAATTTTAGCCAATCAACTATTATGGCCATTCAACTTGTTACCAATTTTTTATGCTTACAAACAGTGCTACAGTGAATGTCCCTGTATCTTTGATGTCCCTTATATGTGGATGTCTCTCTGTAGGATAATTTCCTAAAAGTGGAATTGTTGGGTCAGTGATATGACAATTTATAATTTTGATAGGTATTGTCAATTTCTTCTTCATGGATGTTATATTTCCATCCAAATATAGAAGTACACCCATTTTCCCTTTCTCCAGAATATGTTAGTATTAAATTTTATATGTAGATATAGATATATGCATGAGGACATATCCGCTTATACATAGAAATGATTGTTGGGCCTCAAGCATGTGAGGCAAGCACTTTACCACAAATTATAACCCAAACCCCTTGACTGTGTTTAAATTAGAGAATCATAAAGTTAGCATTCCAAAGTCAATTCTTTCCAAGGCTAGCTTAAGGCTAGCAAAACTGAGGAATTTTGGTATTTCATTGTTTTATGTTTCATTTCTCTTAATAAATGAAGTTGATAGGATTTCCACAGATTTAAAAGCCATTCATATGTTAAATGTTTTATATAAACATAAAGAAAAAGTCTTATAGTCTTATATTGTGCATATGAATTCTTTTGAGTTTTTTTTTCTTTCCAAATCACTATTAATTCTTAGAATTAGACAAAATCAAATAAGAGTTCTTTAAATGCCTGACCATAGGTGTTTGGTGTTCCTCCTTTTCTGTAATAAAGAAATGTCTTGAATTCAAAGCTGTGGGTGGATTCATTACTATTGAAAGCGAGAAGGGAAGCTCCCACTTACACCTTGAAAGTGGTAATAATAGTAGCACCTCTAACTGAGCTAAAATTGATGTCGTTATAAAGGTGTAAACTGGAGTTTACTGTGTATTTCTTTTAGAATTTGGACTAATTCTTGAAAAAGTAGATTAGCATTTGAATGTTTTCCTTGTTCACAGTTAACTACATTTCCTAAATCCATTTGTACAACAAAAGGATCAGACTAAGGGTGATCCTTAGGCTTTTCTAAATCTTAACACTGATTCCGATCTAATTTTATCAGGTGGAAAGCCTTGACCTAGATAATAGCTGCTAGTGATTGATTGAGTTCACTTATTTAAGCATGTGACTTACTCATGTGTTTTCTAATGTATATGTATGCAAAGATGTTAGGAATGTGGAAAACCCCAGTGTTGGTTTGCTAGATGTAATATTAGGTAGTAGTTGTGTAATTAAGAATTCAAATGTGGTATAGTTTATTTATGTAAATCTAAATTAAAAAGTAGAATGTTTAACTTTCTTATCTGTACCCGAGGTAGAATGTTTAACTGTTTTTATCAGTTTATAATAAAATAACCCTTTGAAGATATAATTCATTAGAAAATAATGAAAACACAATTGAACAGTGGTTTGAAAGAATGGGTATTCTTTTGTTGCTGGAGTAGGAGTTTAAGAACTTATCCAAGTAAGAATAATGGTGATGATTATGATGATGATAGATCTTAGCTGATCTTAGCTTGCTTGTGCCAGTCAGTGTACAAAGTGCTTTATACACATTTTTCATTAAATCCTTATAATAGGGGCTGGGGTTATGGCTCAGTGGCAGAGTGCTTGCCTTGCACATGTGGGGCACTGGGTTTGATCCTCAGCACCACATAAAAATAAACAAAGATATTGTGTCCATGTATAACTAAAAAAAAATTAAAATAAAAAAATCTTTATAATAATTCCAAGGGAGGTAGTCTCATTCCTTTTAGGTGAGGAAGAGACTTTGAGAGAAGTCCAGTTACCTGCTCAAGGTCAGGAAGGCATGACCAGGCAGTTGAAATACCTAATATTCAAGGTAGATGATAGACTTCCTTTTTTCCAATGAAGATCCTGCAGGAGAGGAGAAGCTGCCACAGCAGCTCCTTTTACTCAGGTTTACAGCTTAATCATGCCTATTTCATGATCATCTGATCTCTTACTCAGCTGTTAATTGCTTGAGTTCAACCTTATATTATCTAATCTAAGGAGAAGGTACTTTCTTCGGAATAGCCCTTTATAAGATAGATGACAATCTAAGGGATTATTTTAATTAAGAATCTTTTTTGCTGAATTCAGAAATGTAGTATGTGTTCATTGAATATATATACTTTATATATATTACCTGTTTAAATTTCAACAATCATATGAGTTAAATATTATGTCCCTCTTATCACTGAGGAAAATGAGGCTTAAGCCTTGCACTGAAGAATAATCAGCTGGGAAATGGTAGAGCTGGGATTTGAACCCTAGCATTCTGATGTCAGATCTCATTCTCATAACTTATATTGGTAACATTTTTCCCTAGATCTTTTTTTTTTTTTTGACCATACATTCACTTTGTCCCTACCTTTTTCTCCCTCCCTCCTTCTCTCTCTCTCTCTTTTGTGGCATAAAGATTGAACCCAGGGGTGCTCAACTACTTAGCTACATCCCCAGCCCTTTTTTTTAAAGCATTCATTTTTTTTTACCTTTATTTCTATTTATTTCTATTTTTATGTGTTGCTAAGTGTCGAACCCAGCTTCTCATATGTGCTAGGCAAGCGCTTTTCCACTGAGCCACAACCCCAGCGCTCCTAGCCCTTTTTTTTTAAAACTGTAATTTTTTTATTCATTTCTTTTTAATTTTTTCTAATTAATCCCAGCCCTTTTTGTTTTTATTTTGAAACAGGGTCTTGCTAAGTTGCTGAGGCTGGCCTCAAACTTGTGATCCTTCTGCCTCGGCCTCCCAAGTAGACATATACTTCTTCATAATTTTCTAATAATTACATATTTGGGCTTATATCATATATTTAATTTTATATTCTCATACTTCACTTAATCATCTTAAATTCAATGTTATTAAAAATTCTTCAGATACTAGTTTTAACAGCTATAGAGTATCCCATTTTATGGCTATACTGTAAATTATTTAAAATTGAGAGATAATATGCAAAAATGCTATAGAGGTTAGATTCTAGATTGAGAGTGTATGGGTTCAAATTCTGGCTCTGACATTACTATATAAATATATAATGATCAGTGCCTTGGTTTACTTTTTTGTAAGCTGGAAGATAATAATATTTACATTGTGTGAGTTGTTATGAGGATTAAATTATGTGTTATACAGATTAAATGAATTAATACATACCTGTAAAGTACTGCTTAAATTGTTCATTTAGGAAGCTTGTGAAAATAGATTTTGATTCAGTAGGTGTGGGAGAGGGCCTGAGATTGTATATTTCTGTTAAGTTCCCAAGTGTGATGTATTATACTTTGATTAGTAAGGGAGTACATGATGCCTGGCCCCTACCTTTTTCTATGGATTACACCCAGGGCCTCTCACATGCTTTGCATGTGTTCTACCACTGAGCTACACCCCAGACCCAAGTACTCAATAAATATTTCCTATTAGGGTTGTTTCAAATAATTGAACTCTTTAGTAGTGTTGTGTAGATTAAACCAGTGCCTATAAATCTTTACATTTCTGATTTTTCCAGGTGGGGCCTAGAAATGGATTATAGGGACTAAAATCTTTGGTTTCTCTAAATCATTCTTTATTTCCTCAACTTTTTTTACATTCATGTACTTGTCACTTAAGTATGAGTGAAAGTTTCTGACTTAATAGAAGTTTAGCACTTAAAGGTGCTAAACTTTAAGCACTAGAGTGATACCTGTTAGTGAAAGTAAGTCTGCCCATTACTAACAAACCACAGTGTGCCCCCCACCCCATTTACGTGGCAGCGGACAGGTTTTTTTATTGTCATAACTGCTGGGGAGAGTCACCAGCATTTAGATTTAGAGAGTAAGGAATTGAGAGGATTAGGGTCTTCATAGTGTAGGATAGCAAAGAATTGTCCTATACCAAAAGCCAGGAACTTCCCACTGGGAATTACTGGTTCCATTCCCTTCCCTCCCCACTCCACCCCTTTTTAAAAAATTAATGTGAAACAGACCTAGAGTCCAGGTTGAAAGTGTGATCCTCAGGCTGGCTTGTGGTAGAGCTGCAGTTAGAACACCCACATCTAACCACCCAGGCTATTCCTTGCATTATTCTTTGTGACCCTTTCTTTTCTATTGA